GCTAAAAACTGGGATTTAAACCAAAGGTCATTAGATAAATAAAAACAACACTTGTCAACCATGGGGTCTTATTTTGGAGATTCACAAATCCATTTTACTCGTAATTATCATGCGTATGAAGGCTAGAGTTCGGCTAGTTGTACTGGTGATCAGTGTGAAATGCTTTCATTACACAAAATGTTGTGTCCAACAGCCAACTTTCTGCCTCTCGTCTTTCTCCTCGCTTCCCCCCGGTGAGCTGACACAGCTCCTCTGCGTTAGCTGCTTTGCGTCTAATAGGATCAGAGGGCTTTACGTTGTCATCTGATAAACCTAATCCTCTTGATAGCTGTGCTGCACCTTCTGAGCCAATTTGCACTCAATTAGCGTAATGAGGAAACAAGCGCGGAGCTTCAGGAACTACATCAGCGTGATCGAATCCTGATTGAGTCTCTTACCCAATCCCATCAAACATCAAACCGAGAACTCGGATCGTGACAAGAACTCACCTCTCTTTCCCGAGATGCCTCGAATGACCAGATCGAAAGCCTGGCTCCAACACAGGCTTATTGGAAAAACGTACCTAGGTAGCAATCGTACATAGTATTGGCTGTAAAACAGCAAGCACTTTTAATCATTTTCGCACACACTATTATGATTATAGGGGCAGATTAGGACTTAATAAAGACTTGTTTTAACGCGGTTCCTTGCACAATTATGTTATGACCTCAAAACCCTTTGTTTACCATAGTGCATGATTTGTAAACAAATATATTTTGGAGTTTGCATCACTTACCCTTACGAAAAAGAAGTATATTTCAAGTTCATTTTTATGTAGTGTAATGTTCAAGTATATTTTTAAGTATACATTATGTAGTAAGTATACTAATGTCACTATGTACTAGTAGTAAACTTGTAAGTGTACTATTTTAATACCGCTTGGGACTAAATTGGCCCACTTTTAGTACATAAAAGTATATGTTTAAGTGTACTATAAGTGTAACAGCAAGTGCACAACTAGTTCATAATTATGTATCTCATGTGTACTGCAAGTGAATTTATGGGTATACTAGTAGTTTACTTTTTAAGTATACTTTGAATACTCAATTATACTTTTAAGTATTTCTGGATCAAAAGATTGAGTACAAGAACAGGACAAATATACTTGCTTTTCTCTCAGTATAAGTCAAGTACACTTAAGTGTAATTTGAATTATATTTCTGAGAAGTACATATAGTATACTTCTGAGAAGTACAGGATAAATAAACTGAAAGTATACTTTCTTATTTTTTAGTTTAAAAGAAGTATACTAATGAGACACTTGAATAAACTTCTTTTTCGTAAGGGTAACCAGCTCCATACGTTCGGTTTTACAGATGCAGATGTAGGTTTACAGCTCGGGTACGAATCCCGTTCAAAAACAAGCTGGTTACGATTGCATTTTTACGTCACGTTTGTGAGCACATTAACACTCTGGTTGCTTGGATCAATGGTTCTCAACTGGTTATCCAAACACCCTATCACAATTGTTAATTGTACAAAATCGAATGGTTGCTACGCAGTCACTTGAGCGTTAAGGTTTTTTTAATGCGCCCAATCAAACTCTTTGGACGCAATTTGGTTTTACTTGGAAGAAGTTGGCCAAAATGGTCAAGTGGCGTTTCCTCAACCGGTCCCATGTTTGACTAGATTCTACAAAGTAAAACCCAATTGCACTAAAATACTCTAGAGTTGTTTGATTAGGCTCATTGACGTCTAAAAAATATATACGTAGGGAGATAAATGGCGATAAGTAGGAGGATTGGAGGATGAATGGATAGACAGATTCCTTTCTAGGAAACAGCTGTCCGGTGCCAACTCCAAGCTTTCCAGGTATTTTCTAACTCCGAGCTTTCGCTAGTTCTGATCACTAAATTGTCTTTCAAGGATTGACTCTTGCTCACGAGACTTTGGCATCTATCTGGGATTGTGTACGCAAACATATGTTTAAAGTCAGTCTTCGCTTGAGGTCTTTCATGCGTGTTGGTCACGTGCACTGGCTTTAACCTTTGGCTGAGCCAAGGTTTGATGGGTTTCAGTGAGATCCGAGACGTATTCGCAGTCCATTTACCAAAATTTCAGACCATTTCTTTGCCCTTAACCCTTGTGCATCAATTTAAAAAAGTTACACATAGGTAAAAAGAGGACAAAAATGTCCATGTCAAAAAACTGTCATAAAAACGTGACGCTTTGGAGCACAGACTTAAGTTTGGTATCATTTTAAAGAAGACCCTTTGCAGATTATTGCTGAAGTAAAAAAATAATAATAAGTAAATCCAAAAAAAGTTATATAGGTATAAGTTTATGAAAATTATTTATAAAAAATATTTTATATAAAATATATATTTTTTTAAATCAGGTTGAACTCAAAACTGCAATAAAATCAAAGCCATAAATCTAAATAGGTTGTGTTCCAAATTTGAGGATGATATCTCAAAAAATGAGCTTTGGGTAACAGTTTGTTTGGGCGTAGTAACATATTTTCCCCATTGGGTCCCAGCAAAACCCCACTGGAGCTCACAGTGATTGGATTTAAATTTGCAGTTTTTCTCTCTCAGTATTATAAACACACACATGCGCACACACACACATATTTTTTTATAACACACATACTAACCACACTCTGACATTCATACCAACACACCCACACAAATATTGTTGCATCATTTATCCCGTTGGCTCTATAATATGCCGAAGCAGAAAACAGGAATAAAGCGATATTTGTTTTATTGGCCAAACTTAAAAAAAAATGGCAACATCTGATAAAAAATTGTACAAAATAAAATTTTGAAGCCTTGCCATCAGAATGAAAGCCTCTTAACAAAGATTGCATAATGTTATAGTTAACTGAACCGGGGATTAAAAATGGCAGTTTTAATGGGTTTCAATGGGGACATTTTTGTCCAAAAGGCGCTGAGAGGGAGTATTTTTTATACCTAATGCAAAAAATATTTTTTTAAGAAAATGACGGTGAAATAGTAAAATTCCAATAAAAATACACACCTGTGCCAAGTTTTTTGCAGTTAGCTTTAACACAGGCAAAGTGATCAAAAAAACAAAACTGAAAAGGACAAAAATGTCCATAAGGATGCACAAGGGTTAAGGACTCATCCTGGTTCTGTACTGCATAAGATTCACTAACGCTAAGCCAAAACAAATGCAGTGATCGGGGCACCTTTTAAGACTTAATTGAGATTCATTTGGTCTTCATATGCTCTCCCTGTGATTGAGTACAACATACAAAGTGACTTTAGGCGCTTAACTCGGTTTCATAATATCAGATAAATGTTTCTACAGTATTTATTGTTATATTTGATGCACAAGTATAGTTGAGAAATTGGCAAATATGTCATAATTTACTGGACTGGTCATTTGCAATAAGACCATTTGCATGGATTCGTTTGAAAGCGAGCGAGTTAATCTTGTTCCGAGGTCATATGTCTTAAGGCGGGCATACACTGTGCGATTTTCGTCCGATTTTGAGCCGAATTCTGACTCGTGCGACTCATTTTCTTGTCGGACCGATTTTCAGCTTTGTCGTGCGTCGTTTGTCGTGCAGTGTTCGTGCAGTGTACAGGGAGAAACGAGAGGCGATTAACCTCTCACGATCGACAATCGGATGGTCGGATGAATTTCTGGCATGTCAGAAATTTTGGTCGCTCCTCGTGACTATATCGCACAGTTGAAGCAAAGCTACGAACCGATTGCCCTAAACTCAGTGTTTTTTCCCTCACTGCGCCTGCGCGAAAACAGAAGTTTAACCATTTCATCTGCAGCAAAAATTAAATTAAAATAAAAACGAGCTACAAATTACTGTTGCTTAACCTCCAGTTCGTGTTGCAAAATGGATAATATTACCCACCGTCTTCAAGCCACCTGATATGTAACACCTCTTTTATTGTTTTGTCAAACAATGTTTTTGAAATAAACCTGTTTTTAATTTTCATTGATGATTAATAATGGCAATGTTCGGACATATTATAGACTGTTAATAGTTATTTTATATGTATATAATTCATTGTAATCGACCTAAGTGTTTTAGACAATTTTTAATGAGGAGTAAGATTAATATTCCTCACAGCACGTTGGTTATGTGCTGTGAAAATATTGCGTGGCAAATAGCGGATCAATTTAATAGTAAAATTAGCCTATAGGCCTCCCCTAATAATGATAATATAATAATAATAATAATAATAATAATTAAATGCATAAATTGAAAATACTAAATCATCTGGATACTGATTGCAGATGCTTGTTTTGACAATATCTCTGGATACATACACGTAAATAGGCGCAATCCAGGGGGTTATCGCAGATATTACACGTATAGTGTGAGCAGTGAAGTCGCAGCTCGACGATCGGACCGTACAGTGTGAGCACATAAATCCTGAACTTTGGCTTTGCATCGCATGCGATTTACTCGTTCAGTGTGAGTAGGTACCTTGCTGAAATCGCACAGACATCGCACAGTGTATGCCCGCCTTTAATAAGCGCCGATCACTCCTGAGTTTGCCTGGGTTAACTCTTTAATGAGTTGTTAAACGAGTCTGCTCTCTCGTCGTTTGCTTTAATTACTCGGCTAATTATTCCTCGTGCGGTAGTATTGAGTATTTACCGTAATACCTGCTGTGATGCGTGTCGTTAACGTAACAATCCAAACACGCGATCTATGTGCCAGCGGTCAATGTGTGATGTTATAATCTAATTGAAATTGTATTAAAATTTGATAAGAATATGACAAAAATTATGATAAAAGCTTTCTAAATAACAATCTTTTACTTGCAAAACTTAAAAACTTTCAGTTCATCCTTTTGTCTTTAAAACAATTGAATTTTGTAAAGGAAGGAGAAACGGCTTCATTAGTGTCGCCCTCCTCCTGTGGGGTGAATTCAAGCTCCATTTAGAGCAATTACTTGAGCAGAAACCGTCTGTCAATCATTCTTAAGGGGGAAGAGTCCCAATTAATGAGCTCCTGTAATCCCTTGCTATTATTTCCCTTCTGAAGAGACACACACACACACACACACACCAGCTCTCTGTCCAGCGGAATCCACTGGAGAATATCTGTGCATTCGTATATGTTTTTCACGCTTAACGTGAGAGCGCTCGAGGCGGGTTGGGGCGTACAGTAGCAGACGGAGGCGTGTTCATCACCGTGTGACCCTGCTGCCGGCAGAAACAGGTGGATGCGGGTCAGACTGGAGACGGAGAGCGCAGGGAGCATCTCGTGTCAGAGGTACGTCCCGAACCGCGGTCACTCTGTCCTGAGGAAACTTTCTTTCTTGGCTTTTGACAATTGAATATAACGTTTATAAATGCATGTGCTTTGAAAGATGTAAGTTATGAGACCCAAGGAATATTTAATACATATAGTTAATATTTTATTGGAACAATTTAAAAATTTGAGGGGTTTACACATTGCTATTTGAATCTAAAATATGGGTCCCGCTTTATATTAAGTGGATTTAAGTACAATGTACGTATTGTGTTCATGTTGTATTGTAAAACACTTTTGCTGCTATTGAAGTGTGATACGGGCGAGGTTAGGGACAGGTGTGGTGGTATATATATATATATATATATATATATATATATGTGGTGGTATCAAATTAATAATTTCAATGTAAGCACATAGTCTTTGAAGCCCAGGATTTGAAAGTAGATGCTACAGTATTTTGTACTACTGAAAACCAGCTGAATGCAGAGTATATAAATATACATTGGCACCACATTAATAAAACTAATATTAATGAAGAAATCGCCTTATTTGGTGCACTTGTTGATTTTAGTCTCTTTTTGATATGTTCAACAAGGTAAAAACCGGTGCGTTTTGGTCAAGTGGTTTTATCAGTTGGACGTCCTCATTCCAGCATTCGAATGCATTTGTCACTGGACACCATGAACATGGTGGATGACAGCTGTCTTTCGCCCAGTAACTTCCACGAGATGGTCAAAGCGGGGAGTGAGGCGATGGGCACCCGTGTCCACAGCATAGATGTCATCCTGGGCTTCAACAAGGACCAGGACCCTTTGCTCAACCCTGGAGGCAATGCTGTAGCACACCGAGTTGGAGGGGATAGTCTTGGAGAGCCGGGGAAGCAGGATTCACATCACTACGGGCACCTGCCAAGCCTCAGGGACGACTCGGAACAACCTGCGTTTCATGGTGAGTCCTACATGGATGAAACTAGGGTGTTGTTGAGCCATAAATGGTGTTTATGTACAATTACTACCTAAAAAGCTTCCTGTGATGGTTATAACACTAAGACACACTGTTACTAAACACAGAGACTGACACAAGCCGAGTTCTTATGCTGAGACTTCAAGGCGACGGTGGCAATGCGCCAGGAGATTAGCATCAAGTGTCAACTTAAAGACCTAAACGAAAGTCGGACGAGTTTTCACGCAGATTTAAAAACTAGCCCTAAATAGATTGTTACTATGCCATTCATAGTGTCCATTAACTAATATAGATTGTAGAAAGATGGACACTCTATATTTTGACTTTCATCGTGCAGATGATTCACCTCAGATGTTTCACTAAAAATGACTGATGTAAAGGAAGAAGATTGTTTTGCATCCAATAAGATTATAGCGCTGATCATTTGGTCTTGGAAGAATCTTAAGAGGTTGAGATTTCTTTCGATGACCGATTGCTTAATGGGACGCAGGAGACGTCCATTTGTCTTGATTTCAATCTCATTGTTTTTTTTTAGAAGAAACGATATTAAACATCTTGTATTTTATGGGATGTTTCTGGCTGTGGTAAAATGCCAGACTTAATGGAATCCAAATACGACAGAGCAATCGCATTTTCACGTTACAAGGCCCTTTCAAACCTGAAAATCATTTGGCAAGGGGGCTCATTGTTGACTTTGGCTTGCTCAGTTGGGGATTGAATGACCCATCATACCATTGATCAGCTCTACCAAACTTGATTGTCTTTTTCATGAATAAACAAACACTGTTAAGTTGTCTTGATTGATACTGTGAAGCAGCTTTGATGCAATCTGTATTGTGAAAAGCGCTATATAAATATATTTGACTTGACTTGACTTGGCTCATCACTGGTTCTCATCCCCTTGTGGAATTCCTCTAATCTTCCTCTATCTTAAATAAGATTGCACAACTGTGCATGCCGACATAATCATTTTTCCATTCTGCGCCAATTTTTTTTCCCATTGGGCTCATAATCCATCATGCTTCTTTAGTCCTGTGATGAGAGAATCTCTTGCATGACCCAGAGTTGAATTGTCTGTTATCGTGACTCAGAAGAAACAAGTTCCTTTTGAATGGTTTGGGCATTTGAGATCGATTGTCCTCATTTGACAGGAGTTGCCAGCAAGTCTGAGCTTTTCTTTTTGGGCTGTCTTGAATCTGACAGGCGGTGTGGTGATCCTTGAACCAGGATTGACCTACTACCATTGTGCGAGTTCAGTCTATTGCTTGTTAATGATGCTAGCTTCGCTAGCCTAGGACACTTATTCTTGCCTGATAATTATTAAACATTGTCCTTCTAATGTTGCCAAAGTGAGTGGTGTTTTCATGCTTTACTTTCTTGTAATCAATATTTTGAGGAGTGTCAACCACTCTAGCTAACCTAACCTAACCTGAAACTGTATTCAGGCAGTTAGAAAGGATACGTTGATTTGCATACACTTTTCCTACTGTGCATTGATTGCAAGGACTGTCACCCAGGGAAGCTTAAACCTGCGGTCAAGTGTCCTACTCAAGGACACGATGATAGAGAGTCTCTTCACTCTCCAGTTCGTTGGTTGATCTCATCTGGGATTAAACCTGTAACATTTGAGCTACTAGTCAAGCAAGGATATTTACATGTTATGTTCACTTGCCATTCATGTGTTAGCAGCTCCTTGGGAAATGAACCCATGACCAGACAGATCTCTGCGAAATGTCCTGTATATTTCCTTGTCACATACAGTTATGCATTTCAAAAAAAGAAAATATAATAACAGATTCCACCTTGGCGGATATCTGTAACTTCCACTACTTGGCTTGCATGTACACCACAACATTGTAGCTATTGCTAATGTTAACTTGTTTAGTCAGCACGTGTTCTGACAGTAGTAATTAGAGTATGTCAACAACATCTTGTGAGGCAGTAGACGAGTTCACCTGCCCTGAACCAGCTTTTAATTGAAATAATTAAATTAGCTTTCCAATGTGCCTCACCAGTTCGCCAAGATAAAGCTTTTCCTAGAAATGCAACCTTATGTTGAGGACATGGGGGTAGAATCAAATGAAGCCCTTAGGTAGATTAGGGCCTGGTCTATGGGGAAACCATCAGGGGAATTAACAGGCTGCATCTGTTCTACTTGGATTACGGGACGGGAAACACTCAGTGAAAGCTATGCCTACCATCAGTGACAATAAAACTGCTCTAGTCCAGGTCTGTGTATTACAAGAGCTTTCGGCCAGGAGTATTATGGGATTAGGATCTCATTTTTGGAAATACCATATCAGTAATGAATTTACATGTAGTCACCACCCGTAAATAACTGAGATCATATTAGTCATCTTGTCACTGCTCAATTTCATTGCAATGTGAAATTGCTCCAGTTGGCTGGTTTTATGCAGTGCAATTCTGTCAGAACAAGTATAATGTGAACTGTCAAGTCATGTCTTTTGTTCTTGTGTCACCTGTTGCTTTAGATGCTGATCTATTCTCCAACAAGTGTGACGGGGACTTGGGCGACCTACGGAAGTCCATCGAGAGTGACAGCAAGTCTCCGGACTCGGCGGATGGGGAGATGCCCAAGAAAAAGCACCGACGCAACCGCACCACTTTCACAACCTACCAGCTCCACGAGCTTGAGCGAGCCTTCGAGAAGTCCCACTACCCTGATGTTTACAGCAGAGAAGAGCTAGCCATGAAAGTCAACCTACCTGAAGTTCGAGTTCAGGTGTGTTTGAATCACTTTGTGAAATTAAAGGATCCGCTATACCTTGAGATGCTGGTGTTCTGGTTTATCCTCACCTAGTTGCTCAACCACAGTCTTGCTGACCAGCTTGCTTTAACTTCTTAACTAGCAAGGCCAAATTAATTGGTCACTTTAAGCAACAAGAGCCAGATTATCCTGCAAGACCATCATGGTCAAGCAGCTTCATTGGGAAAGACCAAGCTTTTCAAGCTTTTTCAACTTTGGTTGTTTCCCACTTAGTTTTGGAAGCAAATATTCTTGTTGGCATAGCACTACCAAAACAGATTGATTATTTAAATCATTTTTTGTCCAGGTTTGGTTTCAGAATCGCAGAGCCAAATGGAGGCGACAGGAGAAAATAGATGCAAGCACCATGAAGCTCCATGACTCTCCCATGCTCTCCTTCAACCGCACGCCCATGCACACCACCATGGGGCCCATGAACAACTCGCTTCCCCTTGACCCTTGGCTGACATCGCCTCTATCCAGTGCCACTCCAGTGCACAGCATCCCAGGGTTCATGGGTCCTACACAAGGATTGCAAACGGGTTATCCAAGTCACGGTTTCCTCAGCCCACCCCAATCCATGCAGTCCATGGCACCACCTCCATATCAATGCCATCCTCCCTTCACCGACAAATACCCTCTGGAGGACGTAGATCAGCGCAGTTCAAGCATCGCTACTCTGAGGATGAAAGCAAAGGAACACATCCAGTCCATGGACAAAACCTGGCAACCCATGTGCTAAGACAGGGGACATCTCTCTTTGACTGTGGGCCTTCATGTTTCTTGGTAACTAATTGGTACTGAAGGTTAATCAAGAACCATGATTCTTATATTGGATGGTTACCTTGTTCTTCAGTTCAGAAAATGTCGGGGCACCGAAATGGTGCTAATTGAATAGGGTGCCATTTATTTATTATTACTGGATGTACAACAACAACAGGCTCCAAGAAAACCAGCAGCTGTTGAATCTGAATGAAGAAGCATTGCTTAGCAATGCTGTTCCATATCACATACAGCACACAATGGCAAGTTAAATTGGTTTCTTGAAATGGTTTCTAGACCAAGAGTTACTGAAATGTGAATATGAGGGTGTGTTTAGCATCACATGACCTCTGTCTGCAAATTCACACCTCCTCCTTAAGGACTGATCCAAATGTTTTGGGTTGACAGACGATAAATATGGCCAGTTGTCGGAAAAGACCTCTCACACAGGGAACTGATTTCACTTCGAGTAATCCCTCATTTTGATCAAAAAGTCAGGGACAGGGGACAGAAATTATTGGTTTGGGGGGAAAATTTGTACGCCTCAGTGTTCATTAGAGGCAAAGGCTTATTGGCAGACCATTCTTCTGTACGTGCAGAGGAGCAGAAGGGGAAACTATCTGCCGTCACCCGACCATGACTCCCCCTTTGTTTGTGCCAGCTGATCCAAGTCTGATCTTTGTTTTCACTTTTTTAGAGGGAAAGACAATCAGAGACTGTCACTCTAAGAAACCAATCACAATTATTTTTAGATAAAACACCATCAACGTGCTTAAAATTAAAGGGTCATTTCAGGATTACTAAGAGAATAATTTACCAGCAAAACAGACCTGGCGTACCATCAAAGGACCCCAGTTGTGATGTCATGTGTTGCCCACAAACACGCAAGTGGAATTCACTGCTTATTTTTGAAAGGAAACTCACAGTTTTTGTAGCAATACATTGTGTAGTTGTGTTTGACTAATAAGATATTGACTCCCACGAGGAAGAATATTAAACTTTCGGGATGATTGAATTATTCAATCGACAAAACTACTAATAATGTTTTAAGTTTAGTTGTGTAAGGAGTTATAGATGTTTTTCATTGTTTATCGCAGTCCTGTTATGGGGCAATCTATGATGTTTTTGGTAACTTGCACAGTTTGAACAATTAAAAAACGCCAAAGTTAGACAGCAATAATGACAATCATTAATATGAGTGTGTGCGTGTGTGTATGATGTTATTTCCGTTACATGTTTAAAATGTGTCCTAGACGTTTCCACAATTACCCTTGAACAGATGAATGAATGTCCACAAATATTCTTAAGAATAAACAAATCTAGTTTCTCAGAGATTTGCTGTGGACTCATCCATTCCTGGAAAGATTGTTTAGAAGTCTGAACTATTGGAAAGACTGTCTATTTCATTGCCCTGTTTCTCCTAACTGGTGGCGCCAAGCCAGCCTGTTAGGAAGATGAGGTTCCAGTCAATCAGCCTTGCCCGGGAGGGGGTATTGGCCCAAGGGTCCGCCTTTCCCTAATTGCCTCATGACGCTGCTGTAAAGGCACATGTTCAGAGTGTCTGGTGCTCGGCTGTATTCATGATGTGTGAGCAATGCTCTTGGACAGACGGGACACTACAGGGGCCATCTGGGGCCCCCCCCAAAAAACATGTGCTGGGAAATGAGCAAAAGGGGTGTGAATGTGTGTTCTTTCCCGATGATGTTTAGCACAGTCCAGAACGTCCAGATTTTACACTAGTAACTAGTGTGTTAGTACCCAAGCAACATATGAAGCATTCTGAACACTTGCGTAGCAGTGCCAATGGTATCGTGTTTTTACAGTACTTTAATGTACTACTAATGTTACAATCTGGTGGCATTAAAAACAGATGGCATTAATCTTTGTGGGAATATACACTCCTTGCCATCTGTTTTGCTGTTGTAAATGCACAGTAAAAAAAAACATAAGTACTGTGGCTGAACTTTACGGTGATCAAGGTAGGAAGTATTAGCTATTGCGCGGATGGGAACGGAGGGTGGGAAGGCCGCTCATCAAGGTTAATGATGGAGAAAATCCCCCAATTAGAGCTTTTTCCCGCAGGCCAGGATGAGTTCAGTGCAAGGATTAGTGCCCAGGCTGAGACCGAACAGCCACTGACCGCTGCACATCTTGGCACACGGGTGGCTGGGTTGTGGGTAGGCATGCGTTCGGCTGGACTGGCACAAAGGAATCATGGGAAAGCAGCAGTTCATCCACTGCGAAAAGCTTTGTTCGCCAAGCTGAGGGGAATCTGCTGTTTTTCCACTCTCATGCATTGAATGTGGGTCAGTCTGTTGTGTTTAAGGTCCATTTGATAATCTCAAGCTTGGTTCACATGTTTGAGTGACATATTATTCGAGTAGGGTACAACAATAGCCTTATAATCAAGGCCCATTCAGGGTCATCTTATATTCGGAATACGGTGATAAAAATGCCTAGCCTGACTTCGTCATACTCATATTCAAGAGAGAATATGAGTCTGAAACTCCTCAGTTGGGCTTTGATTATGAGGCGTGTCGTAACCGAACCAAGAAACAAAAAAACCTCTGCACTCAATTGGATAGTCGGTAGACCTACAACCAATCAGAGCAACGCATAAGTCAACTCCTTTGCATAGCGCAGTTTTCAAATACAGAACGTAGCCTAACTTTATTTATTTTAGAAGTTAAATAACGAGTGTTGCTTCTTTTACTTACTTCTCCATGAGTGCCACCAAAGGAGAAACCACAACGACCACAGGCTTTTCATTACGTCCCATCTACTTAACGACCGTCAGAGCCAGCTGATAAGTTACACTTTTCCCGAATTATGTAGGAAGGACGCCAAAAATATCTTTCCGATCGACAAATGCCTTGATTGCAGTTCTCTGTTTGTCTATTAAAATGAATGCGCTGTCGATTTATTTTACAAAAGACGCGATCTCAATTCTCCCGCTGCAGTCATCTTTGACAAGCGCTCTTTGATAACGTGATGATTACGTCCCTGCAGATCATCTGTCCATCATCGTATAAAGCCCGCCCTGGCAATTTGATTGGCCCGATCATTTTTTGCCTGATCATAATTTCTCCTCAATGGATCGAGTCCAGACCGAACTTCCCGACCAAAAAATGTTGTGGGTGGAGTTCGGGCTGGCATCCAGGCTAAAAAATGCCATCTCCGCATCACTTTACAACATTTTTAGTTCTTGACATCTCCGAAAAGCCAAGCTAATGTTGATTTTTGTTTTATTACGAGCTCTATCACGTTTTCTTTTTGCCGGCCGACTCTCAACTATTCGGGGTTTGTTTTAAAAGGGCAAGACATTTAGCTGCTCCATGTCACTATGCCACTGCCACATCATACATGCGTATAAAAAAAGTAGCTAGGGCAACTATTCTGTATTTATGGATATATGATGACACGCAATGACAATTTCCCACACAAAACATCCCAACGGCAACAGGTCTAAAATATAAACACTTATAACAGGCTTCCCATAGTGAATCAAGCTAAGACGAGAGTATTGATGGTGTATTAACTCGTTATTTACATTTTGTGCATTTTGAACCAAAAAGTTACATAGTGCACCTTTAAATGCTTGTTTATATGCAAGTAAAGCTTAAAAGCTTAAAACCTTGCAGGTCCAGGAGTGGAACTTTCAAAATAGCTAAAAATGCCTCATCATGAACCGACTGGAAAAATACGGCACATTTTTTTTTAGACACACATCTGGTAGCAAGAAACATAAACCAAAGGTTAATCCATGACCTCGGCTACTAAGACGATTTCTTCAGAGCGATGCACGGTCTTCTCATTTTCAAAGTCACCATACTAATGCATGTGGTGTTTACCGTCTAATCTACTAGGCCTATAAGACTGATTACAGATGCACAATATGACGGTCACAATATCAGTGTTGGGTTATAATATAGGAAAGTATATAATATAGTATATTTAATGCAGAAATTTCTATTTTTTTTTTGCCAAATATCTCAGTACTATAATATGAAAAAAGTGATACATTTTTAAATGTTAATATTACAATAATACAATTTAAAGTAATAATATTATTTTATTTTTATATATGTTAGGGATGCATTAACTGTGCTGTTTTTAAGCTACTTATATACGTATACTATAGTAATTTGATCTAATGTGAATAAGAGCTTTATGCAAAATATAATTTCTTTCGGGATTCTGTTGGTTCTGTTTTGTGTGAGATTTGACCTGGACATATTTTTGCTTTCGCTTTCATGCTTATTCAGGCAAACAATATTTTTAATACTGGCAATCAGAATTGACAAATGTAAGTATATGTAAGTAAGCTATAAAATAAAAAATGACAGCAAATTCAGAGATATTTTGCTGAGTGATCATATGGTTCTCGGCGGAGAACAAGAGGGGATATTCTGAATCACAGGACACCCCCACACTGTACTGTACAACACTGAGTTACTGTATTCATTAAGAACAATCAAGTCTCTAACGACTAAATTAATTGCATAATCTATTATTTCGCTCCCTCAACACAGCGAAGGCTGAAGTTAACAGGCTGATGGGGATGACGCGTTCCTCGAAGGGGATAATAAGGGAAGCGAGCGGAATTAATTGGGTTTGATTAAGAGAGGTTTTCAATGGGATACGGCTCTTTTCGCATGACATAATTAGAGGTCATGGAGAATGGGTGGGAGGTGTGGGGTGGATTTGAGAGCTGGCGCCAGTGTTCTTCTCATCAGTGGACGTGAAAAGGGTTTTTTGTCATCCTTTGTAAACATGTGGAGTGCTAATGATTAGTAGGACAGTTGGACATGAATCATTTAGAGACATAATAACTTATATGGGTGATTTTTTCAATTAGGGCACTTTTTCTGACTCCTAAAGGTGATCAAATATATCTACAATTGCTATGAAACTTTTTATTGTTGAAATCTTGGAATTGGCAAGGATGTGAACAACGTGTTCAGATCAGAAATTACACTTTTTCATAAGAACTTTGATGAAAAGTTGAACTCTTTTTTTATGAGGTATGTTTTGTAAATGGCAGGTTGGGGCAAGTTGTCACACATGCTTAATATGTGGTAATACAATTTATGAATTTTACTGAAATAAATTTGTTTTTAATTTATAGTACTATTATGCAGTTCATTCATTCCAATTTCTGTTGGGCAAAACTATGCTTTTTTCATGATGTTGTGTGTCATAAAAAAAAATCTAACAGGTCTCACTTTAACATCTTTTTCACAAACACATCTGGGTGAATCAATCAGCACTGGCGTCATGTTTATAATCTAGTAGTAATCTGTAATCTGCATGAGAGAAAGGCTAGACGCCTGTAAACACGCACTATTAAAAAAACCTATATAAACCACCTTCATTTATAACCAGATTAAATGTCAAATCATCCTAAAAGTGAAGAGAGTCAACTGTGCTGATAGATTGACCTAGTTGTTTAAAGCCACCTGCGGTTCACCACAATAACTATAATATTATAACAATAAATATTTTATCAAACACCAACACAGAGAATATTTTACCAATCATAATGCTGTGAAATACTTGCTCTATGTTATATTCGGACATGCTCATAATCAAGTGTTTTTTAATAATTAATTGCATATGGATTTTCGAAGGCTAAACATCTTCAGAAAGCAAATTGGCCAAAGGAAAAGGGAAGTATCCGAGCAGTAAATTAAGATTACTTACAAACAAGTTCATTAGTTATCACGTCCAAAATCCAGTCAGTATTAAAACGTTAAAAACTCGTTGTAAGTAACGGCCTCCCGACGGCAGGCGACGCTGTGACGTCACGACTCTTCTGCATGTCACCTATGTCGCCAACGCGCATGCGCCGGAGGAAGTGCTCAGGATTCGGTTTCCTGTGGCCTCAGCTTGAGCTAAAACACAACAAACTCATGCCGTTATAATGGTCGCACCGGTTTAAAAACGATTTATTTTTGTTTCGCGTCTCAGCGTCATAAGGTATAAATGAATTCCTGGTCTTATACTAGCGTGTAATCGTGAGAAAGATGGATATTTCCACGCCACCAGAAGGTAACAGTGCGCTCGCGCTCGTGAGTGAGAGAAATGCAGCGCGAGCGCGAATGAACTGATATTATTATCAAAACGACAGTAATAAACACACTCTTGACACATGAAATCAGCAGAGTTAGTTTATATTGACTGACTTGTGTGGGCAGGATGGCAAATGAAGTAGTCAAATCGTTTGGCGTGTTTTCATTGAGTATAGTTTTGTACATAAAACAATTTTACAGTAACGCTAACGTTAGATAACCAACGATTCCAGTAAAAATACCATATTTACTACAGTAAAACCGTGGACGCTTAGCCGTCGCTGTCGTCACAAAAAGAGAGGATAAAAAGAGTGATTTTTTTGTTACATTTTTTTGAAAGATCGAATGTTAATTTTGTTAATAATTATTGAAATAACTCGTTATATTAATAAAAATAAATTGTGTAAAAAAAGAAAATATATACATTTAAAAAAAAAAATACATTATTTTGTATAGCCTATTGTATCTTATCGTTTTTCTCTGATTTTTCCCCATCAGATCAAGAGCTGCGAAATGTCATCGACAAACTGGCCCAGTTTGTGGCCCGAAATGGCCCCGAGTTTGAGAAGATGACCATGGAGAAGCAGAAGGACAACCCCAAGTTCTCGTTTCTCTTCGGAGGGGAATATTTCGGCTACTACAAATACAAACTGGCCATCGAACAACAGCAGCGTACGCATCACATTTATTCTTACTAACCGGTTTTATTTTGTTACTCATATTTTGAAATAGCTTTCATTTTATGTTTATATTTCAATTAATAGTTGTATTTAACCAAAAGTAACCCTGCTACTAACACTGGGCATTTGTGATGGAAATGTGCAGCTAGATTTTACTGTATTGTGTTTATATATATATATTCGTCTTTAAGGTGTGCTTCTCTCCTTTATAGATTCTTCCAGTCATGATGATGAATATAATATGGAAGGTATTTATTAGATCGATCATCAGTAATGTTTAATTTTGCCTGGTATTCATGGAGTTTTTCTGCATCATCAGTGCTTGAAATGTTTTTTTTTATTTGTTAAATTATGTTATGGCTTACGTTTTCTCAGTCATACTTTAACCTGTGTAATGAGTAAAAACAGCACTTTTGGTGGCATTTGCCAAGCATTGCTGTTACTGTTTCTCACATCTAGGGATTTGATAGTTTTATCAAAGTTTTACCGTTACACACGTAACTTTCCAGCACTGTTTTTTGCTTTATACATGAATCATGATGTTTTTTTGTTTAATATTCAGTCAAAATCTTAATCCGCAAGCGTCTTTGGGTTCTCTCTTGGTTTCTTCTTTTGGTTTCTTGGGAGTCGATTTAGTATCCCCATGCTTCCCTTGACTTAAAATGTTTTCGCGTTGGACATGGAAAGACCAGAGCCAGCATGAGTGATTTTCTGCATGTGTCTCTGATCTGAATGGCTTTGCGCTGGAAACGGCCATTCAAACGAGAGTCCCTCTTCCCAGTGTTTGGCCGTGCTGGCAGGCGAGAGGTGAAGAGGTCACGGCGTACAGTAGGAGGAGTCATGTTCTTTGCGTTTGTGTGTTCGCAGTGCTCTGTAATCCTGCGGGTAAAGAGGTGTCCGATGTTCCTGCGTCGTTGACGATGCTCGCGCCTCCGCCGATCCCACCAACGACTCCGTCAGTGGATGAGCTCGTCCAGCAGAGCCAGTGGAACCTGCAGCAACAGGAGCAACACCTGCTCAGCCTCAGACAGGTACACACACACACACCGATACTGATTATTCAGAATGATATTTGCCGATAATGATAGTTTGATTTTCTGAAAACAAAATGTCATTTTCTTAGCTTTTAGTATGAATTTGCTAGCCTAACACCATCCTAACCAGACTGCAACAACAAGAGAAAGTATGATAATCTCAGGTACTGTTTATTAGGGCTGGGTATTGACACAAATTTCACGATTCGATTCAATATTGATTATTTTGGATATCAGGTACGAAACAAATCTAAACTAATGCTGTAAACTATGGGAGTCAGTTGTAGCCTACTATAATATTGGTAATTATTAGGGCTGGGAAACGATTAATCGTGATTAATCGCATCCAAAGTAAGTTTGTGTCTACATAATATATGTGTGTGTAGTATTATATAAATACACACACATGCATGTAAACATTTAAGAAATATTTGCATGTATATACTTTATATATGTTTATACATATAATATTATACATAAATATAAATATTTGATATATTAATAACACATTTTTCTTAAATATATGCATATAAACATGCATATGTGTGTAGTTATATATACTAAGTAATTTTACACACTACACCAGTATATTATGTAAACACAAGCTTTTCTTTTGGATGCGATTAATCGTTTCACAACCCTAGTAATTATATACTGATTTGTATATAAATACTTAAATTACACTTTTATTTATTTTTATAATAATAAAGTTATATGAAATATAAACATTTAAATGGTGGCCTTCATAAAAACTTGCCAGATTTATTCAAATATGCATTACATATTGAAGGACATTAAGATAATAATGCATGTGTAATATGGTGCATATATTTTTTAAATTTGGAGTTAATTTTTAACGAGTTTTTGGTCACATGGTTTTTCTGAGGTAAATGTGACGTTACATGACATTGTTTACAAGCGTTTTACTGACGTCTTTCCACAGTTGAAACACTGATTGAGCGATTACATGAGACATGATATGGATTTCGATAAGTTGTACTCTATCTTTTAACACACTCATTCATGTTTATTTGGCGCTGTAACTGGTATTATTAAGGCGGAAGAGAGGATCATGTGCATCTGCTGCTTCTCTCGAGCCCGTTCGAGACAAAACGGTTAATTTTTTTGTAATTTCGTGAGAAAATGAACGTACTTAGAAATCTGAGACTTTGTTTCATATCAATAGTAACACAAGCATAAAGATCATTGCGATTTATTGGATGGGATGCGCGCTACAATGTTCAATTCATTCGTCAACTGAAAACAGGACGACTAATCAATTCTTGGGATTTAAGAGTCGATATCGGTTCGTAAAAATGAGAATCGATTAAAATTGAGAAATCAATATTTTTACTGTTTATGTGCTTTATTTAATATTAATGTTAAAAGCGTCTGTGTGAGTTAATATATCACTCGAGTGTGTTTTTTATAGCCGTGCTGAAAGCAACTCACCTTGGATCTTCAAAATAAATAAATGAACAAAAACGTTTAAAATGTGTACTCGTTGTTAACAGATAAGTGTATTCTAAGACAATGATTGTTTTAGTAAACTCAGTATGTATTTTATAATGTTAAAATGGTGTAATATTAATGGTTAATATTACCGTCCACGCGCTCTTCTGATTGGCTGTGATTTTAATCACGTCCCATAGTCACGACTGGCGTGGACAGACAAATTATTTGTCGCTGGAATCTTATCGCATCACTAAGTTAGGACTCTGGGTTAAGGTTATGAATCATAAATTTGCGTTGTTTTCGCAGATTCGCATTTTCAAAAGTTTGCGCCCCCCCAAAAAACGCTGTTGCCGTGTCAAAAGTCGTACGTTTTCTGTTTCTAATTGAAAAGCGGTGTTGTGTAAACGTGTGTTTGGGCCTCTAGGAGCAGGTGACGGCCGCCATCTCTCTGGCGATGGAGCAACAGATGCAGAAGCTGGTGGTGGAGACGCAGCTGGACACGAACGAGTTGGACAGCCTCCTTCAGCCCATCATAGACACCTGCACGAAAGACGCCATCTCGGTACGTGCCCAACGACTATAGGATTACACAAGACGCGTATTGTTTTGAATGGTCGATCGATATGGTCAATTTTTTACACATCGTATCGTTCCGATGTCAAAATAGGGCTGATGTGAATAAGCCGATGATCATTCCTGTGTGTTTGACGTGAGTGTGGGGGCGGTGATGTTTGTTTTTGCACCAGCGCATACATTACGAGCCTGACAGTTTAAACATCAAGCGAAAAATGAAAAATGTCATTTTCTGTAATGGTTTAGAAACAAAATTCACGAGACAATTGCTCATTGGTGATTTCAAATATGATATTTAATTGTAAGGATGGCGAACAGTTTTGGAGATATTCAAAGAGACGTAAGCTGTACTTGCGTTTCAAAGATGGCCGCCGATTGAAAGGACTTGTCTTAAAGGATTAGTTCACTTTTAAAAAAAACTTTTGCTGATAATTTACTCGCCCCCATGTCATCCAAGATGTCCACGTCTTTCTTTCTTCAGTCGAAAAGAAATTATGGTTTTTGATGAAAACATTCCAGGATTTTCTCCATATAATGGACTTCAATGGGGTCCAAACGGTTCAAGGTCCAAATGAGAGTTTCAGTGCAGCTTCAAAGGGCTTTAAACGACACCAGACGATGAATAAGGGTCTTATCTAGGACCCTTCGAGTCATGACTCGAAAAAATATTTGTTCATTTTGATGAACGAGTTTGAATAGGAGAGTCACGAACGCTCATAGAACAGAGCAAGGCGACTAGGGTTGGGTATTGAGAATCGAGTATCGATTGGAAGAAGAAACCGCTGAACAACACCAACGAAGAAGCGTCTACCGGAAGTGTTGGCATAACCGCGCGAGTCGAACATGAGTAGCTTACGTTGGCGGTCCAAAGTGTGGCTTCGCTTTTCTAAAAATAACGAAATCTCGGCAAAATGCAAAATTTGTGACAAAAGGAGTATTTGTGACAGGATTATTTCCTTCAGAAAGACCGTTGGTTAGCAAGGTTAGCTAAACTGTTTTGACCCTGCCTCTTAAAAGAATCGGAATCGAGAATCGTTAGGAACCGGAATCAAAACAAGGAATCGGAATCAGAATCGTTCAAATTCAAACGATACCCAACCCTAAAGGCGACCATTTGAGCTTATAAAACTTAGTCTTTTTATTTATTTTTGAAATGAGTGCTCGTTTCGCATGATAAGACCCTTATTCATCGTCTGGTGTCGTTTAAAGCCCTTTGAAGCTGCATCTGAAACTCTCATTTGGACCGTTTGGACCCCATTGAAGTCCATTATATGGAGAAAATCCTGGAATGGTTTCAACAAAAACCTTAATTTTTTTTCAATTGAAGAAAGAAAGACATGGACATCTTGGATGACATGGGGGTGAGTAAATTATCAGCAAAAGTCTTTAAAGGGACTTCGGCCTCGCTCGCCACTGATCTGTCTGTCAGATGAGTTATTTATGGGTTATTTCTCTCTCAGGCTGGGAAGAACTGGATGTTTGGGAATGCCAAGACCCCGCAGCACTGCGAACTGATGTCGTCGCATCTCCGAAACCGCATCACTGCGGACGATGCGCACTTCGAGCTCCGCCTGCACCTCATCTATCTCACCAACGACGTCCTGCATCACTGGTGAGACGCACAACTGTGTTATGTGGCAATAGTTGTGTTTTCATCTTAAAGTTGCAAAGTTAACTTGTGTGCAAAAATAGGGATACACGATATATCGGCCGATATGTTATCCGTCTGATATGAAAATTTGGTCGATTTATTAAATCCGATAAATAATGTAGAATTTCCTTCAGCTGAGACACCTAAGATGCGCACTGTTCAACATGATGGTTTTCAATTGTTTGAAAAAAAGGAAAATATAGGCCATATAAAATTATAATGATAACGTCATAATTGTGTGTTTTGGACGTGGATTTTAATGGTGAGACTTTTGGTTTTGTAATCAGGCTCTTAAATAGGGTTGGGTATCGAGTATCGATTGGAACCGGGACTAACTTTTCGTTTTTCCCGGAATCGTTCAAAAGTTAAAATTTCGATTCCTAGTTTCGATATTCACAGTCCGCCGAGCGGAAGAAGAAACCGCTGAACAACACCAACGAAGAAGCGTCTACCGGAAGTGTTGGCATAACCGCGCGAGTCGAACATTAGTAGCTTACGTCAGCGGTCCAAAGTGTGGCTTCACTTTTCTAAAAATAACGAAATCTCGGCAAAATGCAAAATTTGTGACAAAAGAAGTATTTCCTTCAGAAAGACTGTTGGTTAGCAAGGTTAGCTAAACTTTTTTGACCCTGCCTCTTAAAAGAATCGGAATCGAGAATCTTTAGGAACCGGAATCGAAACAAGGAATCGGAATCGGAATCAGAATCATTCAAATTCAAACGATACCCAACCCTACTCTCAAATATTCTATAAAAATTTTAATTTAGATTTATCGGCCGATATATCGGTGAGCGGCTTTCAAATATAAAGAATTATCGGTTATCGGTATCGGCCAAAATGTTCATAGCTGCGCTTCCCTATTTATCAGAAAACATTCCATCCCATGTTTTCAAGATAACACTCATCACTTCCTGGGGAACTGGCGCATGTAGTGGGGGAACGGATCAATTGCCAATCAAATTGGCAAGACAAAACACGTCCAAATGATAAACTTTCACTCTATGACGGTTAAATTTAGCAGTTAATCGGCGAATCGCATGCGTGCCGAACTGCGGGGCGGCTGATCCGTACAGATCACGGTCCGTTTCACCCCAGCACATAATATCCTCCATCATTCATGTGATTTCTTATCAAATAAAAAAAATGTTATATTGAGTTTTCGCGTTAGGAAAGCATAGAAATGGAGTGTAGCTGTACGTACTTGCCAAGTCCAAGAGTGTTTTGTTGGTAAACTCTTTGATTTCTCCACAGTCAGAGGAAAAATCATAAGGATCTTTTGGCGGCTCTGCAGAAGGTCGTGGTTCCCATTTACTGCACCAGTTTCCTGGCGGTGGAGGAAGACAAGCAGCAGAAAATCACACGGGTACGATCGCCTCCGCTTCACACCCTCGTGTTTGCTCTCAGATATCAGCAGAACGTCATGCGATGTGACGGTGTGTGAGTGTGTCTTCTGACGAAAAGCTTCTGCTTTCAGCTGCTGCAGCTGTGGGAGAAGAACGGCTACTTTGATGATGTCACCATTCAGCAGCTCCAGAGTCCTGCTTTGGGCCTCGGACAGTATCAGGTACACACACACACAGACATCATTCAGAGACTGGCAGAGGTTGCTTTGCTAATTTTAAGCAGATTTTAATTTTCTGTTTTCATTTTAGCTACCTTTTTAGTAATTTTTTAAAATGTTTTTTTATTGATAATTTGAATCAGTTATTTTTATATTTTAATTATATTTGTTTAAGCAATTTTTCCAGTTTTTGACATTTTTAATGTTGTATTTTAAAATGTCTTTATTTTGAATCTGGTTATTTTTATATTTTCTTTATTCTTTATAATTTTAGTTAGTTTCAGTATTTTTGTTGTTTGTCTTTTTAAATTTTGTAAATTTCTAGTTTTTTTTGTACATATTTTTAAAATGTGTTTTTATTTTTTTTTTCTATTTTTTTATTTTAATTTGAACAAGTTTTAATACTTTAAGTAAGTCTATATAGTTTTATTGATATTTTTAATCGGGTTTTATTTTTTATTTTTTTTTGTTTTTCTTTTAATTTTAGTTAATGTTTTAGTAATGTTGTTTTTTTTGTTTTTCTTTAAATTTTAATAGTTTTCATTGATATTTTGAATCAAGTTTTATTTTTATATATTTTATTTATTTATTTTAATCAAAATTATTTATTTCATTTCAGTACATCAATTAAACTAAATAAAAAATATAAATTTGCAAAAGTGAAAAAAAAAATAGCTGAAATCAAATAGGTCATAATTTCAAGCTGTGGGGAAGTTTCTAAGATGGTTTCAGTGTCAGTCCGCTATATGATGACCCTGTTCCAGCGTATGGCGTGTTGATCATGTGTTTCGTTGTCGTCTCGTCAGGCGTCGCTCATCACGGAGTACGCTCAGGTGGTGCAGCCCATCCAGGTGGCCTTCCAGCAGCAGATCCAGGCGCTGAAGACGCAGCACGAGGAGTTCGTGAGCAATCTCAAGCAGCAGCAGACGGTGGCGGTGGCAGCAGCGGCGGCAGCGGTGGGTCAGCTGACCCCTGTGGACCCCGAGGTCAAGAGCCAAGCGCCCATCAGCGCTCAGCCTGGTAAACGGACACTTCACGTCATCACAACACGTTTTTATTCTGAAGAAATGAATACTTTACTCTGCAAGGATGCATTAAATCAATCAAAAGTGACAGTTTAAAATGCTGCAGAAGATTTCTCTTTCAAATAAAATCTGTTTTTTTGAACTGCAAAAATATGAATCAGCATAACTGATATAAGATATATGAGAATAATAGAGAATATATATATATATATATATATATATAAAGACAAGATTGGGTCAAACATTCCTGACTTGTTATATTCTAACCATTTGTGATGTCATACTTATGTTCTTTTTGCATTTGAATATGATGTCATTCCCAGCTTTTTATGATGTCATTTCCTTGAAATCACTCCTAAATCACTGTGATGAATTGTGAATTATGCTCATTCTTGACTTGCTGTGATGTGATTAGTTGTTGTGTCATTCGTTTGTCATCAGGAGAGCTGAAGCCTGCGCTGGCCGGTCCTCCACCTGCTGATTACGAAGGCGCTCAGAGCCGACCCTCGGACTCGAACCCCTCGGCGTCACCTGACATGCCTTCCTCTAAACCAGGCTGGTTCGAATCGCAGCACAACATGCCGTCCTGGAACCCGCAACAGCCTGTGAGTGACTATAAACTATAAACTATGAAAAACTAAACTATAAAAGAACTATTATAATGCAAAATCTCCAACAATAGACGCTTTATATTATCGTCATGCTGCAAATCTATAAGAATTAATAGTCAAACCAAAATGTATTCGGACAGCTTCAACATTTCTCACATTATCACAGTTTATTCGCTATAGTTAAGAAAATGGTAATAAAATATGACAGAAATATATCTCGGTTTTTTTTTTTGTATTTATATTTTTGCCTTGAAAATAGCCTTAGATGCTGGCATTGCATTAAATAAAACTATCTATCTATCTGTCTGTCTGTCTGTCTATCTATCTATCTATCTATCTGTCTGTCTGTCTGTCTATCTATCTATCTGTCTGTCTATCTGTCTGTCTGTCTGTCTGTCTGTCTGTCTATCTATCTGTCTGTCTATCTGTCTGTCTATCTGTCTGTCTGTCTATCTATCTATCTGTCTGTCTATCTGTCTGTCTATCTGTCTGTCTGTCTGTCTGTCTGTCTGTCTGTCTATCTATCTGTCTGTCTATCTATCTATCTATCTATCTATCTATCTATCTATCTATCTGTCTATCTGTCTATCTGTCTATCTATCTATCTATCTGTCTATCTGTCTATCTATCTATCTATCTATCTATCTATCTATCTATCTATCTATCTATCTATCTATCTATCTATCTATCTATCTATCTATCTATCTGTCTATCTGTCTATCTATCTGTCTATCTGTCTGTCTGTCTATCTATCTATCTATCTATCTATCTATCTATCTATCTATATCTGTATGTCTATCTATCTGTCTATCTATCTGTCTATCTATCTGTCTATCTATCTATCTATCTATCTATCTATCTGTCTATCTATCTATCTATCTGTCTATCTATCTATCTGTCTATCTATCTATATCTGTATGTCTATCTATCTGTCTATCTATCTGTCTATCTATCTATCTATCTATCTATCTATCTATCTATCTATCTATCTATCTATCTATCTATCTATCTATCTGTCTATCTATCTATCTATCTGTCTATCTATCTATCTGTCTATCTATCTCCGCCTCCAGCCACCATTCGACCCCACTCAAGTCCCGCCCCCCTGCCCGCCCTGGAACAGCCACGAGGGGATGTGGAACGAGCAGCGGGACCCCAACTGGAGCGGCCCTCGGGACGGCGGCCCCGGAGGCCCCTGGAGTGGCCAGAACGAGCCCCCGCCCTCCTGGAGCGGCCAGTTCGATCAGCCGCCGTGGAGCAACCAGCCGGACCAGCCGCCGTGGGGTCAGAGAGAGCCTCCCTTCCGCATGCAGCGGCCGCCACATTTCCGCGGGCCGTTCCCGCCACACCAGCAGCCGCCGCCGTTCAACCAGCCGCCGCCGCCCCCGCACAACTTCGGCCGCTTCCCGCCGCGCTTCATGCAGGAGGAGTTTGCCCCCCGACATCACTTCGAGCGGCCGCCGTATCCGCCACACCGGTTCGACTACCCGCAGGCGGACTTCCCGGGAGGTGAGGCGCAACTCTGTTCATGCTCGATTTTAGGGGTGGAACGGTAGTTCAGTACGTACTACGGCTGTCAAAATGGCGGAAAAGCTAAATTTGAATTTCTTTCTTAAATATTAGCGAAATTGGAATTATATTTTGAAGTCTAAAAGCAATACTGAAGTTCTCCCCAAAAATTAAAATGCCGTCGGTAATGATTTAATTAAATAATATTAAATCTGATTTTTCATTTTTGAGTGAACTATCCCTTTAATGTGAAGAGATAAAAATATACTGAATTGTCTGCTGTGTCCACTAGAGGGTGCAAGCGAGCAAATATAAATCTAATCAAGCATCGCGTCTTTTATTGAAATGAAATGACGTTCACTTTTTAAAGTGCATTACTTTTTGAAACAATTGTTCTTAAAATATAATTTCCACGATGATATAAAAGATTTCAAACCATGTTTTTGAGACTTTCTTTGGTTCACGGCAATTTTAAGGAGAAAATACTCTGCAATGGTGTTAACTAGGGATGCACGATATATCGGCCAGCATATCGGTATCGGCCGATATAATTATGTTCATTTTTAATGTTATCGTTATCGGCCTGGTAAGAAAATTTGTCGGATATATTAAAGCCGATAAATAATGTATTATTCCCTTCAGCTGAGACGCTTGTTGAGAACTGTTTATGTTTTTGAATTTCTTGAAATATGATTGAAATCTCTTCAAAAAATGAAAATCTGGTTCGGGACAACATTTATACTATACTATACTAACACTATAATAAAAACATCATTATAATTGTGCGCTTGGGACATGGATTTAATTGTGAGACTTTTGTTTTTGTAATCAGGCTCTCAAAATTAGATAAAAATTTGGATTTAAGTTTATCGGCCGATATATCGGTTATCGGCTTTCAAATATAAAGAATTATCGGTTATCGGCCAAAATTTTCATATCGGTGCATCCCTAGTGTTAACTTATAAATTTACACATGGTTTGTCTTAAACACACATTAAAAGCTGTATTTTCTGCACAGGGGGACTTTAAGTGGTCCTCAACTATTCATGCGAGTCTTTGCTTTGTTACACATTGTAATGTTTTTCCTCATCAGAGATCGGTCCGCCTCCCCATCACCACCCGAACCAGAGGATTCCCCCTCCAGGAATGTCGGATCCTCCTCCGTGGGGCGGAAACCAGCATCCCGAATTCGGCCCGCCTCCTCACGGCTTTAACGGCCAGGCGCCGCACATGCGACGGCAGACCCCGGCTCACGTCAGTCAGGACGACCCCAGTCTGGTCCCCAACGTGCCCTACTTCGACCTGCCGGCGGGACTCATGGCGCCGCTTGTTAAGGTTAGTTCACATTTAACCCACGATGAAAAACTTAATTTTTTGAACAACATTTTATTGTTCAGTCCTTCCAAATTTTTATTTTATTTTTTTTATTGTGATTGTTGCGGGCAAAAATCCTTGATTATGTTTCCCGTTTTCTTTAAAAATGCGATGAAATTGCGGAATGATTCATGGAAATTTAGTTTATGTGGCGAAACTGCGGCGTATTTGAAAAGATGCCCCCGCATAAATTCTTTGGCTGATTATGCACTAAATCACGTTTTTCTGGAGGGACTGAATGTTGTGTCAGAAGAAACATAGGCCTATATCACAGATTCAATTAACTATTTACAAAACTAATGCCGTGAAATTCACCAGACCAAAATAAAATAAGTACACATAATTAGAAAGTCAAGATTTTAGTTTTTTATTGACCAACTTTGAATAGTTCTGTCCTTGTCCTCATTGAGTTCAGCAGTGGTTCCCTCTGGCAAGGCAATGTACGATTATTTCTCTTTAATAATAGCTTGAAGATCACGATTATAAGCCTCTGGACCCCAAAGACATCCGTCTGCCGCCCCCGATGCCCCCTAGTGACCGTCTCCTGGCCGCAGTGGAGGCGTTTTACAGCCCGCCGTCACACGACAGGCCCAGGAACAGGTGACGCACACACACACGCTGTGTTTTGGTTGTTTTCATTTGTTACTTCTATTAAATTGACATGAAAACGATCATTTTTCCAGTGAGGGTTGGGAACAGAATGGTCTGTACGAGTTCTTCCGGGCCAAAATGAGAGCAAGGCGGAAAAAGGATCAAGACAAACGCAACAGGTGGGAAATTAATGAACTGTTTTAATGTATTATGTGTATATATCAGTGACAAAAACAAAACTGTTCAAAAAATGTGTTGAATATTTGATGGAAAAACTTTAACTAAAGAAAATTTTGATTAAAATTAGAACTTAAATAAAATAAGACTAAAATATATAAATTAAAGCGAAATGTATAAAAAAAACATGTTACTAAAATTAAAATGAGTGCTGGAAATATAAAAATAGAAATGTACTTATAATATCACTGTAATAGTATACTAAAAAAAATTGTATAAAATAAAAAATGTGTAAAAAAATTTAAAAGTAAAAAATACTTCAAAATGTGAATAAATGCTAAACCTGAAATAAACATGAATACAATCTAAATATATATATATTTTTTTTAATTATAGGTCGAAACAAAATTTGTAAAATTAAAATGCTGAAAAAAATTATTATAATACACACACACACACACACACACACACACATATATATATATATAAACCTGATTCAAAATGTTAATAAATACTATAATAGTATACAATAATTACTAAAACTGAAATACATAAAACATAAATATTGAAAATCCTTATAAAAATGTAAAAAAAAACACTACTAATAAATATTAGTAAACTAATATTTTTACACAAAAATAGATAAATAAAACTGAAGTCAAAATATGTATGCTATAATAGTGTACTAAAACTGATATAAAAATAACCTAATTAAAAATATAATAAAACCTGAAATAGAATATTAGTAAAACTAATACTAAATTGAAATAAAAACTAAAAATATAAAAAATAAAAACGCATCAAAATATTATTAATAAATGCTGTAATAGTATGTAACGCTGTAGTTCAGATATGACCTAAACAGAAGTGAATCCCATTGTTTCCTCACTGGTTTCCTTCTTTTTTGTGGCAGCACCCGAGGGAGTCCCTCGTCCCGCAGTCGATCCCACAGCCGAGGGCGATCCACCTCACGCTCCAGCTCCAGGTCTTCCAAATCCTCTCGCTCCAGATCCCGCTCCCGATCCCGCTCCCGTTCTCGCTCCTACTCCAGATCTCGCTCCGGGTATTGTGAAAAATCTGCTTTTACAAATAAACCTTTTTTTTACAGTTACAGAAAGTTGTTGACACTGTTTTTTCCAACTTTCTCCTGTAGGAGCAGGAGTCGCTCCAGATCCAGGTCCCGAAGTCGCTCCCGATCCAGATCTCGCTCCAAGTCACGATCTCCAGAAAAGCGCCGCCAGCCCGAGAAATCCCGCAGTCCGACTCCACCGTAAGTGGATCTGCTTTTCTTACCCAAATCTAGAGTCTGTTATGGAACTTGACATGTATTAACTTGTTCCGCAGTTAATTCGGTATCGTTATTACTGAGGATTTAATGTCATTCATATCGTCTGTAATTACGTTTTATGTTTTTACCTAATTCAAAAAGCATAATCGCAAATTAAAATCTTTGACATAAAATATTAAGAAAAATATAATCCCATCCAGATTGTAAAATATATGATTGTTCATCGTTTCTTTGAGCATCAAAAGTCAAATATTGTAACTATAGCGACATTTCTTATTGTGCTGCATGGTGAAAAAATTATAATTGGTGGTGATTGAATGATTATCGCTATCATTCGATATATTAAAAAAAAAATAAAATGTATTTAAATTAAAATAAATGGATAAATTAATACAAACAAAGACTATATAATTACACAAGACGCGTCACTCGTATTGTTTTGAATGGGGAAAAGTTATAGCGGATTAAGTCCCGCCTTCTAAATAAGAGCCGATCACCGATCGGTAAAGTCAGCTGCCGTTGCTATGGAAACGGTCAGACGATTAGCTTGAGTTATTTTGTTTCATAATTCGAGCGTTTAGAAACAACTTATGAGACAGATTTCATTGGTGATTTAAAATATGAACAGTTTTAGAGCATTTGACGTTTCCCCATTCAAAGAGATTAACGAGCTGCACTTGCGTTTCAAAGATGGCCGCCGATAGGGACTTAAGACACAAATTTCACTACTTTCCTGAAATGAATCCAGTTTAAACATTGATTTAGCGTCTCGTTGTCACGAACGCCTGTCTCTCCGCAGCTCCACATCTGGCTTGGGTTCAGCTCCCGCCGCCATCCCCGTCGACCTCAGGCTGGGCGAAGAGAACAAGGGCCATCAGATGCTCATGAAGATGGGTAAGTGATCCAGAAGGCTGCGTATGAAGCGATGCCTCCGCTGATCGGCGCTGAACGTTGTCCCGTTCGTCCTGCAGGCTGGAGCGGATCAGGAGGTCTTGGCGTTAAAGAACAGGGCATTCAAGATCCCATTAAAGGAGGAGACATTCGGGACAAGTGGGACCAGTACAAAGGAGTGGGAGTCGCGCTGGACGACCCGTACGTGAACTACAGGAGAAACAAAAGCTACAATTTTGTCGCAAGGATGAAAGCGAGAGAAAAAGGTATTTGTGTTTTTAAGGGCGAGATAGAGGTGATGTTCATCTTTCTTCAGAGTGTAATGTTGCTGTTGGAGTTCTCTATATCCGTGTCAGTGTTTCTGAACCCTTGAAACGCCTCCATTGTAGTTTTGAGTTTCAAACACGTCACAATATTCCTCATTTAAATAATTCATACGCAGAATAAAGGGGCGGGGCCTGGTTGAGTTAGTTAGTAGTGTGTTATGGTAAGGGGCGGGACATTTCCCAAACACACTCGACCAATCACAACACTGACCCAACCGACCAATCAGAGCACAGTGTGCTTTTCAAAATGAGGGGCTTCATTGAGACAGGAAGTAAACAGAGCGTTACTGACAGACTGCGAAAAGAGGAGCCGCAACACTGGAGAATATGAGGAAAATAATCAACATTCAAGCAGGAAAACCTGTTCTAGTCAAAAAAAATGTAAAATCCAGACTTGATCAAATCATTAACTCTAAATATAACGGTGCACACTTGACCAAGTATGAATGTTTGTCTTTTTTGTTCTCAGTAAGCAGAGACCCACCGGAGCCCTCCAGCACAGAGTGATCGCCGGCACACGGGTCTGTTTTTCTACTGTAGATGTCAAAACTGTTTTACACATTTGTTTGGATGTTTTATCTCTCCCTCACTTTATTTTTTGTAGTAAAATGTATCAAACCTTCATATTGTTACTAATGGAAATGTCAGCATCATCGCAACCCTTTCGATTGAGTAATCTTGTGCAAGCAAAATAAAGACATTTTAAAAAAGGTTTTTAAGTGTCTTGATGAATGTGAAACACGATGAACAGGAAGTAAAAGAAAGCTGCTTTATTTAGGCACATTAACAATAATTGAAAAGATTTGGCTGTTTATGATATATATGGACGAACTTTGATCTGTTTATTTACATGCAATGATAGTCCTGCATTTCCCGTAGAACTTCGTCTAGAGCCTCTTCCATACTTAGCTTGGGCGGCCTGTGAGCGCGGATGAACTACAGGGAAAATAAAATTCCTGTTAGCAAACATGGAAGATATTACAATTGAAAACGTACGATATATCAGCCAATATGTAAATTTTTAATGTTATCGGCCTGATAAGAAAATGTGGCTGATGTATTAAAGCCGATAAATAATGTTTTATTTCCTTCAGCTGAGACGCATCAGATGCGCACTGTTCAACATGATGGTTTTAAACTTCTTGAAATATAAATGTGCAGCGCAAGTCTGTCATATAGGCTACATAAAATTATTAGAAGATTATTATTGTTTTTGGGACATTTCTTGGGTGAATTTTTTATTTTTTTTCTAAAAAATTATATGACAATTGATTTATCGGCCAATATATCGGTTATCGACCTTCAAATAAATTTTTTTTAATTTGTGCGTCACAATTTTTGACCAAAATTTTCATGTCGGTGCATCCCTTTGTGTGTGTGTGTGTGTGTGTGTGTATGTGTGTATATATATATATATATATATATATTTATACCGATATGAAATTTTTGGCCGATACCGGTTATCGGCTTTCAAATATAAAACAATTATCGGTATCGACCAAAATATACCGATATGAAAATTTTGACCGATAACGGTTATCGGCTTTCAAATAAAAAAAAATGTAATTTGTGCGTCACAATTTTTGACCAAAATTTTCATGTCGGTGCATCCCTTTGTGTGTGTGTATATATATATACCGATATGAAAATTTTGGCCGATACTGGTTATCGGCTTTCAAATATAAAAAAATTATCGGTATCGGCCAAAATTTTCATGTCGGTGCATCCCTTTTTTATACATATGTGTATATATATATTATAAAATCATCAAATTTTGGACGATACCGATAATTTTTTATTTTAATTTTTTTGAAAGCCGATAACCGATATATCGGCCGATATTATAGTCCTAAATGTCTTCTAACAGTGTTCACCTGGCTTAAGTGATTGCCAAGGTAGTGTCAGGCATATTTAATTTGATGAACTTTTAATAAAGCTGTATATTATCTGTGTTTTACAGGCTAATCCATCACAGTCTTATTTTCATTCCTTGTCAAATGAAATTGAGGATTTGTCACTGCAGTAAAATGCGCTCTTACCTCTTTAGTGTCTTGTAGTGTGGTGTATTTGTAGTCAGCCGGCCCCAGGGACTCGTGCACTGATTTGTAATGGCGTCTGGTGGAGTCGATGAACGATCTTGTGAGGGCCAGCTGCTGTCGCAACATGTCGTTGAGTGCAATAATGGCAGGATTATATCCAGTCAAACCTGTTAGCATGGGAGATAATGAGCTGTACAAGAATAAGGTATACTCACTCAGTACCTGAAATGTTCTCATTCTTAATCATAACCACTTGTTTTTTTAGGATCATGTTTATAAGGGCATATTCACATCGTATACTCACTCTCTATGGCTTCAGCGCTGACTGTGTGACTGGCTATTGGAGTCGGGTCCACGTACGTCATGCCCAGTGATGGACCAGCGGCAGCCATGCCTGGAAAATGGCCAACATAAACAGGTGGATCTCACAAAAACACTTTTATAATTGAAATTTGGGATGAAAATGTGATTTAAAATGCTATGAAAATAGTCAAAGTATTATTTTTAGAGCAGGAGCACCAATATGGCCTAAACATGTTCTTGAAACGCATACATTTCTCTCAGAACAAGAACAAAAGTGGTCCAAGGCTATAACCCTGAGGGATGCCCCGAATTGAATCAGCTCACCATATAAAACGATCGTGTCTCTTCTAATTTTTTTGACTAAACCGCTCCATTTATATGGATTAGATTTATGATCTCTTCATGAACTTTTAAAAGTGTCAAGATTAGTTGCGTAGCTGTCTATTGAGCTCTCAGATTTTAATTTGGGGGTGAACCTTTAAGGCGAGACACTACAGGCACTACATTGTTTACAAGAATGGAGGAGGAGTATCGTTCAAATTTTATTGTATGTCGAATGTATGTTATTATTGTCTAAAATGGTCATTTCGTGTGTGTATCCGGGATGTTTAAAACAATGGCGCGATGCTTCCGCCTACGTCCAGCGTGACCTTTCGAACGTGATGGCAAGACGATCAATTGTGGTAATAAAAGTATATACATTTTTTCGTTTTTTTTTTGTTTTGTTTTTTTTGAAAATGACCAATCGTTTTGCTAGATAAGACCCTATTCCTCAGCTGGGGTCGTGCAGAGTCATGTGAAACTTCATTGATTTGGACTTCAACATGTTGGTTACCATTGAAGTCCATTGTGTGGAAAAAAATCCTCAAATGTTTTCCTCAAAAAACTTAATTTCTTTTCCACTGAAGAACATCTGAACATCTTGGATGGCATTGGGGTGAGTAAATCAGCAAATTTTCATTTTGAGGTGAACTTATCCTTTAAAGAGCCCCTATCATAGCATTTGAAATGTTCCTATTTTTGTTTTAGGAGTTCCCAAAAACAGTTTAAAATGCATGCAAGGATAAAAACACTTTATTTGTCTTATAATATGCATTTATTTTTAACTGATTTGCTCACCGACTCCCAAATGATTCGTACAACGACTCATTTTTCCAAACCACTCCTTTGCGTGACGCTAATCGGCGGTGATTGGTCAGATGACCCAGTCAGTTGTTTGTTAGAATAACACATAAACATATTGATAAAGCACTGCAGTACTACAAGACGATCTATTCTTTATGACAACTCCAATAACAGCGACAAACATTTCACATATTTAAAAAAAATTGACATCGGAGCTGCGCTGAGCGCAACTTACACCCACACACACGCACACACATACTTATTGCCTCGTGCCCCGACGCAACAAAACCGTTCAAAACCCATAAAAGCAACAATTATTAATAATACTTACAGGTTGTGATTCGAAGGAGGAAGCTGATCCATATACACTGGGTAAGTAAGTTAGGAACAACCGCTTGCGAATCCACATTTGAATTCATTTATGTTTTTGAACGATTCGTCATTAAAATGATGAGAACACAATCGGGCTATACTGTTGTGGTATCGCTGCAAATATGAACTCTAACCACCGATTCTTCAATGCTCGTCCCTGGTAAATGAAAACAAAGTGGCCATCAACTATCTTTGCATTGTAGAACACAGCGTTTTCTCCACATGATGCTATGATGAAGTATTTGAATGTGTAGATTTCAAGTTTACACTTCCGTCTGCGCGCGCAGTAACTGGGCGTGGCCAATATGGCTCTACGTCACGACGAACCAGCTAATGACTCGTTTCAAAAACAATTCATTTCATAGACTCAGAGTCGACTCTCACTTTTGAAAGACAATAACTTTATATACGGTGCACTTTCAGATATAAATCTTTGCAGGATGTTGCCTATATTCCACACTACATGAACAGTCATTTTCAAAAATCCATGATGGGGGCTCTTTAATGTAATCAATTAACGAGATGAATATTGAAATATATTAGTCCATTTCGTTTAATCCTATTCACCTTGGGATGTCTTGCCTTAAGTTGGAAATACGACTTGGACGTGTTATTGAGGTTTCTCTCTGAGATTCGCCCACATACGTGTCCTAAACACAAGAACAAAAGTGGGCCTCAACTATAACCCTGAGGAACGCCCCAAAGAAACTGAAACCTACCAGAAGACCACGTGTAGGCAAATCCATCCATCTGTGTCTGTACCGCAACCTCTTTTACGTGACGGCCAGGACTGGGGGTTACAGTCGCATTGGACGAGCTAGACCGCGAGGAAGAATCTGAGTGGCGACTGGATGACGGTGATGATTGTGATAAAGTACGATCGTCATCATTGTCGTCGACCTGGGATTTGTACGAGCTGACCAATGAGGCATCTTTGGCTTCATCTGTGAGACGTTCTGAGATCTCGCTGGCACTCGATGGCGTCTCTGATGGGATTTCGCTCTCAAAGTCACTTTCGTAGGCCGCCGAGGCTTCATCCGGTGTGGGTGGAGAAGCGAGCTTTGAGATGTCGTTGGATGACTTCTTGTTCTTGTCTTCCTTTCTGGCTGGTGTTTTTTTCTGTGATTGAAAAAATGTTTTTTTTAAATTTGAAAACATAAATTCCCCTTGTGGTGAAATCGAGCTTTTAATGTTGTTTATATGTCTAGATATTTCAACAAACCTTTTCTTGTGATATTTCAGCTGCTGCAAAAGGTATAGGGGCGAGATCCTCCAATGTCATTACGTTGAGTTTGAAATCTGGGTAAAAAGAAATTTGTTGAGAATAAATTCTATTAAAGAATAGTTTAGATGATCTCTTGATGTTTAATCTGACGGGTGTTTTACCGTCCAATACTGTACTCCTCTCGCTCAGAGTGTCATCAGAGTCCACAGGAAAGAGATCATCCAAAGAGCGGATCTCACTGTGATCAGATTCAGAGAACACAGACCGTTCAGTGAACCGGATCAGGCGAGACTCAGGCCGGCTGGGGGAAGTAGAGGGACTTTTATGCTGGACAACTTTGTGTCTTTCAGGGGTTGGCGAAGATTCACTGCTCTTCTTGTATAACTGGAGAAAGGAAAGCAGAAAGATAGTCTTACGTGTTTGGGAGGACATGAGGGTGAGTAAAATTTCTGGTCAACTGGGGTCTCGTTTATAAAACTGCGTACGATCCTTACTAAAAGAGTGTGTGCCCGAAAGCTAAAAATGGCGTACCCAAAAAATATTCAGACAGCAAAACCTGTGCTCCCCGAAATAACCATAAATGAGATTACAACGCCTAATTTTACTATGCACATCCTCATCTGCATATCATTTGCATATTCATCCACGTTTAACGCTACAAGACATTATGAAAATATGAGATACGGATGTAACGCTACTAATCATTTAGTAGCCCATCCTTGCCTTGTTTTTGAATAAATCAAATAGTATAAAATACATTTCAGAGAAAGTTTTTTCTTAATCTTTTCCACGGGCCAAATAGTATTTTTAATTGCTTTACATTTTTAATGGAAACAGATAGGCCTTATTGTGCATTATTGATCACTATTTCCACAAAAATATTTTGTTATTATCTATTATATTTTATATTATCACAATCTAAGCAATCCTCGCTGTAGTTAAAACACAGCATGCCACAGGAAAATGTTCAAAATATTAGATTATTCATTTTTTTGTAACTTCTCAGTAATGATTTCATGTAATTTAAGCGATTAAATGTGTATATAAAAGATGTAAAACATAGTTTAAATCATTCTTTTATTTATTTAAACTGTTATTGTTTAAATAAATAATTCTTTAAATAAATAAATAATAATTTTTAAATAAAGAATTAATTATTTATTTATTCTTAATTCTATTACTATTTATTAATTTTTTTTATTCTATTAATTAGTTAAATAAATAATTATTTTTTAATAAAGAATAATTAAATAAATAATTCGTTCATTCTTTTATTTATTTCAACTGTTACTGTTACCCTAGGTCTGTTTAGTGTGTACGCATCGCTCATAAATGAGGCCCCTGACCCTTTAACTGAGTCAATACCTTTTTAACTGGTTGAGGACTCGTCTTCCTCACTGCATTTTGTAAGGAACTCTCTGATAGGCTAAAAGAGTCTCCTAGAAGTCTTCGCATGTCCTGTTCGTCGCTGTCTAAACTGACTCTCCTTCCTTTATATTCATTTAGACCAGGCGCTCTCTCAGGAGCCTTTTCCTCTTGAGGTGCGGACAGTGTCTTCTTCAGAAAGCGAGTCCCTGTCGTGCTCAGATCGCTGCTGGACTGGACCGATAAACGTGTCTCCTGTGCTTCTGAGAGGTGTGTGTGCTCACTTTTCTGGTGTCTGATGCGGCTCTCGATGAGCGCTAGTCTACTCAAAGCCGTGCTTTGTGAACCACGTTGAGGTATGGACTTAAAGTCGTCCATTTCTGCAGGCGTTCCACTAGGAGCGAATGACTGTCTGTCTTCTGTGGCATTTTTAGAGGACTTCTTCAGAAATCGACTCCCGCCACCTATAATGAAACTCTTCGCAGGGTCCTGGTTTTCCCTCGGCGATGCTGGGATGTCACTGAGGTCAGGTCTGGTCAGTGACTTCAATTTTGTCGAGTTTTCCTGAATAAACAAGAACATTTCATGCTGAGACATATTGTGACATTAACACACCAGAGACAATGTCAAAAATGCAGTCAAAAACATTTTATTTTAGACATATCCAATTTATGTCTAGGTTCAAAAGCATCTTATCACAATGATAATCATTGTTATGCACCATTATTGCCCTAACCTTTTATTACGACAATATTAAACATCAATATTAGCGAAACTTAAGAAGAGCTTCATTACCTACAACATTTATGGTAAAACAATGACTTATTATTACCATATACTGGTTAACGTTATAATAATGCACGGCCTCGGTGACGTCAGCTGAAAAGGAAAGTTGTTTACTCTGATTTACGTAATAATTATTCGGGTGGAAAACAACACAAAACAAAAAATAAAGTGAGTTTAATTTCTCTAGAGCGGCTGTGTGTATAATAAACACTAACCACATCTCGTTTGTCCGCTGATCTCGCAGTGTTTGAGATTCTCTGCCCAGAGAGAAGAGCTTTAGCCCGATCTAGAGCTGAACTCCGCAGCCCTCCGCGACTCCCCATCTTGACTGAGTTAGTTAGTAAACATCATCACCTAAAATGCTACCAGAAATGCTCGTCTGCCTCAAAACAAAGCAAACGGAGCTCTCGTAACGGCATTATAAATCGCTCTGAAGTAAGCAGTACGCCTAAAGGTAACGTTACTGTACTAACATGTTTACAACGGAACCTTTCCTCGATGAGAACGCGACGCTCGAGCTTGTTCACCATGACAACGTCGCGAGCGTTCTGACGTCACCGGAAACGTCTGATAATTCTTTGGTTCCATTTCCTGTTTTTATAAACACTAGAAAAATGATTTTTCCTCGATGTAAATGCTTTTTTTTCTAACGAACCTTCTGCTAACCTTATGTAATGCCAAATGAGGTACGAGGAAACCCACTCCTTTTGTTAGAGAAGGGAAATTGTTCGTTCTGTTATTGTATTTTGATTATTTCTGTATTAAGTATTTTATTCGTTTTCACTTTATATTATTAGGTAACATTACTGCTTGTACTTACATAATACGATCAATAGGTAATACACAATTTGTTAATTGCATCAAATTATTAATTTAAATGTTAGCACACACAGTAGCCGTAAATACGCTAAAAATAAAGGCGGTCCTTGTATTTTATCTCCACTGTAGAAAATGTGTAGGTTTTTTTTTTTATTTTAATAAAAGAGAATTTTTAGAATAATGTATTAATGTACTGCCCGATTTTGCCTTATCTTATGCTATCATAAAATTGCTTTTTATATTAAATTTTTATGAAAAAGTATGACATTTATAATACATGAATAAGAGTCACAGGTCAAATTTGATTGACCGCTCACAGCACTACATAACACGCCAGATAGATAGACAGATACTTTTATCTGATCTTAATCTTTTCTCTGCTGAAGGATTCAGCAAATTAACATCAAGTGATTTTAAAGCTTTTTAATATGTGACTTCAGGTCGTTCGTTGTTTATTTCTTATAAAACGTCTGAAACACCTGCAGAATGCAGTCAGCTACAGCAAAGTTTAGAGAGAAACGCTCGCAGGATCTCAGGACAAGTTCAAACGGTTGCTTTAAGATGTTTTTAACTTCTCTAGTCAGTGAGAACTTTATGAGGCACTTGAGAAAATAACACTGATCAGATCTAGTGGACGTTGTGGCCGACCGGATCTCAAAGTGGTGAAGCTCAGATGACGTGAAATAATCAGTAAAACACATTTATTTTATTCGACGGAGTGGGAACAGCAACAAAGGTAGCTTGTTGGCAAATTGAAAGAAAATAATGAGTTCATAACTGATGTCCGCCCTCTGTTCGTTGATTGGCCGGCTGTTTTTAGGCCGGAGGAGAACTGAGAGATAGGTCGCTTTCTCAGACTGAGTAAACTGAAATTGAGCAGAAGTACGAAGTCTGACGTAGTCAGGCTAGTTGATTGGTCTCAATGCATCAAATCTTAAGAAACCATGGGAAATCATTAACAGCCAAGGCGGGGGACCTTAGTATAATAATATCATCAGAGATATTCTCCACTCTCTCAATAACCTACGAGTGCTGATGTGACTTCATGTTGATTTTTGCTCGCTGGCTGACGACACACTCTCTTGTATCGATATGTACCGTTACGAACGGTAATCGAGACATTTGATCAGAACAAGAACAAACGTCCTGAAGAGAGCAGAGACAAACACTCTCAGGATCTCAGGACAAGATCAAACTGTTGCTTTAACCCTCAGGTGCTCTTCGTTTCGGAGTCACACTTGTTATCTTCCCGGTCAAAAGTGACCGGACACCTAAAAATGAAACTTTCTCCATCCCAGTAAAACCAATGCAATTTATTTTTGTTCTATAATATTTATTCTTTTTAATTTAGTATTTTGAGACAATTTAAATTAATTTATTAATATTTATGCAATATTTATGGTTTATTTTTGCCATAGAAAAATATATATTATTTTCTATATATATATTATTTTCTTCAAAAAAATATTAATGCAGTATTTTAGTTTAATATAGAGTCTTGATTTTTGCTCGCTGGCTGGCGACACACTCTCTTGTATCGATATGTACCGTTACGAACAGTAATCGAGACATTTGATCAGAAATGAAGAACAAACGTCCTGAAGAGAGCAGAGACAAACACTCTCAGGATCTCAGGACAAGATCAAACTGTTGCTTTAAGATGTTTTTAACATGTCATTGGTCAGTCTATTTCTGTTGAATGTCATCATTGACTAACAGGAAGTTGAGGTGTACTGGAGCTCAAAATGTGAAATAATCATCTGTAGTAAGACAGTCACACCCATTAACACTTGATGTGCAATTATTTTAGCTGACGGAGTTTCACTTCACTTTACTCTACAGAGCAGCTTCACATCAGCGCGTCTGTCATTTTATCAGTTTTGAAGAGTTTGTCTTTTCATATTTGTGGACTGAAACTGATGAAGATGTTTCTCCCTGTTTTGCTCTGCTTGTGTTTCTGGCGTCTGGATGGTGAGTTTAATGTGTTTTTATGACTTATCAGATATCATGATATCATGTGGTTAAAAAAATATTCAGTGTTATTCTCATATAGAAGTAAATTATCTGTTTACATTTTTCTATTCTTTATTAAAAGTTTAAATCCAGGTTTATACTCTTAAACGTATACTTACATTAGGGATTGATTAAATGAAATCAAATAAATGTGAAGCTCTAATACCCAATAGTTTAACTGTGGCAATCTTGTTAGTAAGTCTCTCTCTCTTTTTATTTACTTATTGTTCTACATTTACATTTAGTCATTTAGCAGATGCTTTTATCCGAAGCGACTTACAACTGAGGACTAAAGCATGCGAGTCATCGTGAAGAGGCAAAAACGACACAGTGCTCAAATTACAAAGTGCACTACAGACAAGTGAGGATTAAAGGAAAAAGAAAGATTTTTTTTTTAAGGTTAAGTGCTCACGAAGAGATGAGTTTTCATGTATTATTCTGCATTATGGATGAGGGTGGGGAGACCGTGAATGAGAATGATCTGGAAAGTGATTTTGAGGCTCTCTGTGATGGTACCACGAGCCGTCGCTCATTGACTGATCGTAGGCTTCTGCTAGGGATGTAGACTCGCAGGAGCAAGGAAAAGTAGGACTGAGCTGAGCCAGTGGTCAATCTGTACGCAAGTCCCAATGCCTTGAACTTGTCTCAACAGAGAGATGAACAGAGGAGCCCTTTTGGGCTCGTTGAAGACCAGACGAGCAGCAGCATTCTGGATCATTTGTGGAGGTTTAGTTGCACATGATGGAAGTCCAGCCAGAAGAGCATTGCTGTAATCAAGCCTGGAGATAACCAGGGCCTGTATTGCATGCTCAGTTACGAAAGGCCTGATCTTCCTGATGTTGTGCATTGCAAACCTGCATGATCTAGCTGTCTTTGTAATGTGGTCTGAGAAGGTCAGCTGGTCATCAAAGAGATACGTGCAGCTACTGTGAGATCATCTGGATGAAACGAGAGGTAGATCTGGGTGTCATCGGCATAGCAATGGTAAGAGAAACCATGTGCCTGTATGATGGGTCCCAGTAATTGGAGAAGAGGAGCGGTCCAAGCACTGAACCCTGGGGTACCCCTGTGGTCAGTTGATGTGCTTTGGATACCTCGCCTCTCCATGCGACCCTGAAGGACCTGCCTGTGAGATAAGACTGAAACCAGTGGAGGGAAGTTCCAGTGATGAGAGGGGGAACAGAAAGATCTGATGATTCACAGTGTCGAAGGCGGCAGACAGATCCAGGAGAATGAGAACTGGTGATTCGGAAGCAGCTTTTGCGATACGCAGGGCTTCTGTGACCGACAGCAATGCAGTCTCAGTTGAATGCCCTTTCTTTTTAAGCCAGATTGGTTGATATTCAGCTGGTTGGTCAGAGACAGGAAAGATGATTGGTTGAAAGCAACTCGTTCAAGTGTTTAAGTTACCCGAGCCTGCTTAAAGGATTAGTTCACTTTTGAAAAAACTTTTGCTGATAATTTACTCGCCCCCATGTCATCCAAGATGTCCATGTCTTTCTTTCCTCAGTCGAAAAGAAAAAGAAATGGACACATGATTCAACCAGAATTTTCTCCCAATCAAAAATGAATACTTGGAATACTTTTAAATAAATGTAAAAAAAATTAATTGTGATATGACTCATTCGATAATGCCTGATGCTACAACTTTTTTTTGGTAATTTTCAGTCTCCTAGGTCTAGGATTTAAGGAATGGGTGGATATTCCGGAGCAACTTGGCATTTCTGACTGGCCACTGACCATTTTGGATTATGGGGAAAATGTTCGAAAAACAATGGCTTGCCACTTGGTGGCAATGTATAGGATGATGCACCAGGGTCTTCTGTAGAGGATGACGTGCAACTATGCCATCAAAACCCATGCAAATGCAAGAAAATTCTTTTATAGCTGTCCACTGTAGTGACTTCTATGCACAAAAGGGTTAAAGTCGTAAATGGATAAGTATGTATACATCAAAATGAAGTGCATGGATTTGAAAGGCATGTATTTATGATACGAAGCAGGGTCTCAGATCCTCCTCAGCTCAACAGCGCCACTCAGTCTTCCAATGTAAATCTGTGGTGAGAAATGGAACTGCAGCAAGTTCTAATTGAGAGCCATTAGTGCAGATTTCAGACTTACCCGCTTATTTTCTAGCCAACCAATGGGGACACAATCACAACTATCGCCTTGCCGGCCTTTGGCCGGCCCAGTTTCTCGCTGACGATCGGTAATAGTTGATAAATTAAACTTTTCCCAAAACCTGTCGGGAGTAGGGCCACAACATCACCTCCATTCAAAATGTTTATCAAACACCCTTCTTTGTTCGTGCTTCAGTTCAAATGCCGGGAATATTTTCCACAACAGAGCGAATTGCATCCCGTATGTCCATATCCGCGGTCGTTTTCGATTTTCCCTAACCCAAAATACAATCTTAAACTCGGTGCTTAACGTCTACGTCACAGCTCTCAGCCCGCCCTCTGTTCGTTGATTGGCCGGCTGTTTTCAGGCCGGAGGAAAACTGAGAGACACGTCGATGTCTCAGACTGAGTACAGAATCGAACTGAAATTGAGCGGAAGTACGAAGTCTGACGTGGTCAGGCTACTTATTTTCATGTTCCCTAATGTAAACCCAGAACACGACGATATCAGTCCGTTTCAGATAAGTGTATATTAAGTGGTTGCTACAATAGTTGCTTAGTGGTCAGTAACTATTTGGTATT